ATACAGAATTATATTATTCACCCAAGCATAAATAATAAGGTTATAATAATCTTATAAAATTTGTATATGTATACATCCATATACATACATAGATTTTATAAGACGAGTATTAAAAAATGAAGGTGATATTTATGTGTGATTGTTTATCATTTACAAAATGTGGACTAATAAATTTGTATATTGACCAAGTTCCAATTGTTGTTATAAATATAAGTACATTGTTTATAATATAGTTATAATAGTTAAAAATGTGGCACATGCCAGAATTTATATAGTAATTAGAATAGGTATATTAAATAGTATTTTTGCAGGAGTATTTTCACTTAATATATACTAGAAAAAAAATTTAATATTTGCTATAAAATCTATTTCACACATTTACTTCTTATTTACCTAAACCGTCTAGCCGTTGTTAGTTTAAGATAATATTATAATAATAGAAAGTAAATGTAAAATATAATAAAAATAATTGCAGCAAACCACAAAAATGAAATATTGCGAACAGAATAAAAATGACTTGATTTTTTGGTCACGTACTGGTATTGGCTGAATTAAATTTAAAAATTCCGGTCAATCCACAATTATCCACATTTTTTTTCGTAAACTTATCAAATTCAAACTTATGAATTTTTAGTCAATTTAAAAAAATGTACGCATTGGTTCTAAATGGCGATTAAATTGACGTTTGTCACTGACAAATATACATAAATCTCAAATGTTTAAACTTGAAGAAGTTCCACTGGATTTCACTAGATTTGAGTACTGGTTCGTTTGTATTAGTTCGCTTGTCCAGTATTCTATGTAGAATTTTATATTCGAAAAAACATGTTAACTTATAATCGAACTGGCAGGAACACTGGCTGACGCGCTAAAATATATGTTTTCTATTGCTATATAACAGAAAGAAGTGAAGCAGTTCCATGAAAAATTTAAAATGTGAGATTTGGCGGAGTAACTGCAATAGAGATGTATTTTAATTTGTAAAATATTCAAAAAAATCTAACACATTCAAAATGAAAATTTTGAACTATAATACTTCTTCAACATCACTGAGTAAAAATAACCCAAAACAAAAATAATATATAGAGAGATATTGTATTCAAAAAAATCGAGTTATATGGATGTAAACATTAATGAAATTCGTAAATCTTATGCGTTTGCACAAGATATTTAAGTAAATATAAGTAAATTACATACAAACATTACTATATAAAGCGCTCTTTTGATGTTTTTTTTTTTTTGACGTAATATTAAGAAAACAAAACAAATGTCATATATTTTTTATCCAATCATTTTATTTTAGTGGAATTAAGGAAAAATTAAATAAATAATTGAAATATGAAGTGATAATCATTTTATATCAAAAAAAAAAAAAAAGAAAGTGTATGTAGATAGGATTTCATATTTTATTTATTGCTTTTTTAAGTGCTCACCTATATATATGTACTTAAATATACGTGAATTGCATATATGGCGGCATTTTATTAAAGAAAATCAACCCTTTAACTATAATTACATTGCACCAATCAATCATTTGTATTTCAAGTAGTGTCATAATTTATTATATTGCATTCAATGTTTACCTTAAATCGGAAGGATTAGTATGAAGCAAGATTGTCATGCAACAGGCAAAACAAAACCAAAAAAAAAAGGTGAAAAAAAATAAGAGACCTAGAAAAACCTCTTTAAATATTGTTGATATTTGATTAATTTGTTGCTATAATTAATTTTTATTTAAGGTAAACAAAGTATTAAATATTGTAAAATTATTTCTAACGGTAAATATTTTTTATAAACATAGTAATGTTAGTTATGACATTTCTTTCCCTAATTACGGTATCAAATTCAAATGTTTCACTCTTGTACACACATGCATTGGTATATAAGAATTTATCAGTGCGTTTAATTATACTCGTATTACGCGTTCAATTTACGCGGAATAAAATTTTTTTTTAAATGAAAAATTCTAACCGGTTTATTCTGCAATCCAATTAGCCGGGATCAATTTGAGATTTAATTTAATTTTATATTATTAATACATCAAATTGAACTCACTTGGATTATTATAGAATCCACTTTGATTATATTATAGGTATTTCATCCGAACTCAGCTGCGATTTGATAATGTTTTCCAAATAGGTAAAATCATAAATATAGCAAGTGGCTACTGGTTAAGTTTTGTTCCTCTAATTAATCAATAAATAATTTTTAACTTTTACTATGGCAAGTCGTTCCAACTTGTTCACTAGTCTTTCATATGTAAATGTAGTATTTACATCATTCAGTTGAGAAACGAAAATGTTGATTATAAGAACTTCGTTACCTCCTATAATATTCTGGGTAATTTTGTCTTCAAGGAACAAGAAAAGAAAAAATACACAACAAACAGTAATATTTCGAGGATCATAGTTGATTTTCTTTACAACAAACGTAATAATTGGGTTTGCTAATAGGCAAAAGTTTTTCAGTGAAAAATTTAATATTTTTGAAATACATTAAACAATAGGGAAATATAATTCACTTCACAAAAGTAAAAAAATTGTAATTGAATCGTCCTTTATTTTTCTTTTTGATTTAGAGCTTAGTAAAGTATGAATTGAGTGCTAAACCATAAATCAAATCAGTTAATATTCATTATCTTGATATACTCTTCAATTGGTCAACTAAATTTAAGCTATTTTTTTAAAAATACTCGTAATGTCCAAAATTTCGAAAATTTATAAGATTTCATTATCAAACTCTTGAAAATTATTTAAAAAAAAAAAAAACAGTGTTTTATATTTAAGTATACCTCATCTAATTTTGCTTCTTTAGGTCGCTATCCAAAACTGTCCATCAATAGAATTTAAAAATGTCAAAACTTTCAAGGTCTAAATATATTAAAATAACAACTATAGATATGAAGGGTATATGAAATTAAAAGTTCAATATTGCAATTATGTTGTAGATCTCAGCTGATTACCACATCTAGATTTGATTTTGGTTTTTTGATTCAGCATCAAGGATTCTACATAAAAAGAGTAACATTTAATTGACTATATTGATCATTCTTTCGAATATGAAGTTTTTTTCCGTAATATTGTGCTATTAAATATCCAAATAGTTAATTTTCTTAAAAGTAATATTATTATTACTTTTAATGAAATACAAAAATTGTTTTAATCAGTAAGAATCAAATTAATAATTGCCATTCCAAAAGAGACTTTTTGTTCAAACTCATCACTAAGACAAATTTATTATCTATAGCTCCATCAAGATTACAAAATAAGATTGTATTTTGTTTATTGCACTGCTCCGTCGGGATAAATCTAAAAAAAAATATAGAACAAAAATTAAAAGTGCTATGTTGAAATCTCAGATAATCTTATAATAATTTCACATAAAATTTTATTTAATTTATTTTAATTTATTTTATTTAAATTATGTGAAAAATGGTATTCTTTCAACGGAAATATAAATCAAATCATAATAATTTATTTAACCATTTATTATAACGTTTTTACTCAATTATATTATTTTCATTTCTTAACATTTATATATACATACGTATATATGGCAATTTTGGTCACAAAATTTAAAATGTATCCCCTTAAAATGGTCCCCCTTGCCATTTTATACAAAGAATCCTTAACCATAAGAATTATTATGAATCAGAGTGTGTAACAATGCTTTAAATTGTACCCAAGAGAATAAAATTGTCTGCATAATTTACTACCATCTGTTTTCATTACACAATACAATTTCGATGCTACAGTTTTTATTTTTGAATAATTAGTTGAATCTGGTGGACTTTTGTGGTATATGAAATGAAACATGTAATGAAGGACTCTTTCAAGAGCATTTTTTATACTTACACATGAAATTTCACAATATAGTACTGTCCAAACCTATATATAGTATTGTCAAGACAATTTTAAATGAAAGAAAATATTTTATATACATATTTGCATTTTATCACAAAAACAAGAACATTCCTATTTTAAATGAAAATGTTAATTTTTCTATGTTCTGATTTACATTATAATTATCAAGTTATAATAATAAGTTTCATTATAAATTTGAATATGCGCAAAACGTATAAGTATATTACTATTTTTTTGACTGAAAATTTGATGGGAATTGTAATTGCCTGTGGGATTTCTGAACTTGAAAAATTTAAATTTTGGATTCTAATAAACTATTTTAAAAAATTGCTTATGTACTTATATGATTTTTCTTCAGTCAATCGATTAAAAATATATATTTCATTAAATTTTTTATTGTATAAGAAGACAAATGACTTATGTATTTTATATGAATGATAATGATACTAACACTGTTATATTTAATATATAACTGTTATTATAACATTGTTAAAATAATTTATGGAAATTCTGCAATTTTTGTCAGAATAATCAACTTGAATTTGATTTTCTAATTAATACGTACACGTCAGACGTAACTGGAAACTATAATTTGTTCGCTTCACATATTAGTTGTACATACTTTTTAATAGTAAACGAGTTTAAAATTAAATGGCACTCGAAAATAACATTTTTCAAATAAAACCGACGGCATAATCACTATTTCTTTATTCAAGAAACCAATATAAATTTAAGCTGAATTCTGGCTTAGTGAATTGATTTGTAAAACAATTCTCTTGAAATATTATTTTTTATTTAAGAAATAGGTCAAAAATTTTTCAATTGAGTTTTTATTTTACAAATAATCATTTTTGAATTAAAATATAAGAATGTTTTATACGAAAATTAGAAGCTTGTAAATTGTACATATAAGTACATATATATTCTTATGTAATACGAATTGTTCAAAAACTAAATTCGCATAACAATATGTAAATAGTACTTACATATGTATGTATGTAATGTTATTTCAATATGTGAATAGTATTAAAATTTGTTAAATTTCAAAAATAAAGAGAAGGAATTAAAATTCTTTTGAATATTTTATTTTTGCATTTTGTAAAACTAATTAAAATTTTATTTTCATTTTTCTTTCAGGAAAAACTAGAACAAAAGATAAATATCGTGTTGTTTATACAGATTTTCAACGATTAGAATTAGAAAAGGAATATCTAACATCAAGATATATAACAATACGTAGGAAAACAGAATTAGCACAAGTTTTACAATTATCTGAAAGACAAGTGAAAATTTGGTTTCAAAATAGAAGAGCAAAAGAGCGTAAACAAAATAAAAAACGTGATGAAAATGATTCATATGCCCATTCAACATCCGATGTTACCGGACAAATAGTTGATTCAAAATCAAAACTCGATTCACCTGCTAATTTATCCCATTCTTTACATCAAATGCCAATGGGAATGTCATCAATTAACTTACATCATCATCCTGTATTACAATCTGGACACTTAACGATATCACCAGTCCATCATACACATCATTCACCTGTTTCTGCACAATCACTTCCCATGTAATATTTGCAATATTTTTCAGTCAGCAATGTGTTTGATTAAAATATAATCCTGTTTTTTTTTTTTTTGTAATTTTTAAATATAAAAAAAGGCTCTAAAACTTATTATTTATAAAAAACAAAATAACTTTAGAATTGATATTTTAATGACTTCAAAATCGAATTCTTTTTAAATATAAGGCACGAAAGTGGTAACTTATTAGCTCAAAAATTACCCATAAAACGTCAAATTCAAAAAAATTACAAGTTTAGTTAATACATACATATGTCAAGCAACAAATTTAATTTTACTTACATGCAAACATAGGTATGTTCGCTAAATCGCGTAATTTTTGAAAATGTTGCCGTTAAGCATCTAAAAATGTACATAAATGCACTTAATATATGTGCACAATTTAGAAAATTAGAGTGTAAACAATGCTTTTTTAAAAAATTTATATGTTATATATTAAATTGAAAAGTATACATATGTACAGAAATGTATGTATGTATATAAGAGGAAGAAAATTTAAATTTGAAATTAGATACTTATCTAACAAAGAAATGTTGATCCTTTCAATATAACTATTGTCATTATAGTTAATAGTGCTATACAGGAGAAAATTTTTTGCTATTTTTTGTAATTTTATTGTGTGAAATATTGGGTTTGTTTTAAGAAACAAATCACTTAACGATTAAAACATTGCAATAATGCTACTTCGTTTAGTGATAGGGGCCTCAGTTCTGAATATAAACCTTAATAGCTACTTATCGAAACTTTCTTTTTTTCTTTAAAATCTATATATGCAGTTTCATATAAAAAATTTTTATACTTGCACATATGTATGTGATATAAGGATACATATTGTATACGATGTACAAAAGTTTTTTTTATCTAATATTCAATAAATGTATGAAATTTTACAATTGATTTTTGAAATTTACATTAATAAATAATTATAAATAATAATATGCAAAGACAAGATTAAGAAGTCATTTTAAAAAACAATTCTTTTATAAAAAACATTTTATTGTTAAAAGCCTTTTAAGTAATAAAATCGCCTTAGAAGCTAAACAGTTTATTTAAAAAAAAATAAAAATAGCAACTTTTAAAGTTTTTACTTTTACTATTCAACCACATTTGAAAACGTATTTTTAAGAAGTATAGTTAAATTTGTATGTATAAAAAAATTTTTAATAATTGCCTATTTAAAAAAGTAACAAAAAAAAATTATTTAAGTGTAAGGCTGTCTTCCAGTATACCAAATGCGTGCAATTAACGTTGGTCATAATTTCCAAAGTGACATTTTAATTTTGAAATTCTAAATTTTCCGCTTTATTGAAATAATTTTTAAAATGTCATTTGCGAAAATTGCTTAATTAAAGATGCTTATCATATTCAAAATCAAGTGACGCCATTAACATGATCTTCAAAACTTTGACTTACTGGAAAACGCCCTAATATAAACAATAGAAATGAGGCGAGCAAAATTTTAATCTTTTTATTTTTGCCTCTGTTTTTTTGTTGTTACAATTTCTTTTTATATTTCTAGTTCTGTAAATCATAAACCGTCCTACAATATTAGTACATAAAATATAGTAAATGTAAATTTTAATTGAAACATGAAAAAAAAAATATTATTTTCTTTTTGAAAAAAAAATAATAACAATTTCAGTTGTATGTATGTATTATGAACTTCATAATTTAAAAACAAAATATAAATTTATATTTAATATACACTTACTTAATATTAACTTTAAAACATTAAATAATTGTAACTGTACTTAGTGCATAAAATATTTTTTTTTATAATATTTCATTTAAATTTTATTGTTAATTATCTGCATACATAAGTAATAATAAAAAATAGAAAAAAAAACAAAAACCATTAATTTATATTTTTCTTATACGATTAGTTTAGAAATACGCATTTGCAGGAGTAGCAAATAATATTGCCACAACTTTGATTAAAATATAAGATGATATTATGCTATATACGTATTCCTAAACATCATGCCGCCCTTGTCAGAAAAAAAATTACATTGCAGTTTCGGGACTCTTGACGTGTCGATCTAAGTTACGAATATACTATGAATATTATAATAATCAGTTCTCAATATCAAATTTGGTAAATTGCAACTAAATAAACTAAAATTTAAAATTAAAACTTTATATTTTTAAAAACAAATTAAACTAATGTACGGTAAGATTATACAAAACCCTTTGAATTTTTGACTGGAATAAAATTAATATGACAGCAAAATGTCAATTTTTAATTTCCGTAAAAAATACTTGACATTTTTAACTTTCTTCTTATTGTTCTTGAAAGAGCGGAAAAGTTCAACAATAAGAAACAGTTAAAGGCTAGTTTTTAAGTATATGAATAAGTATGTCAAACATGAACGGGTTTGTATAGCAAGGATTTTAATAATCTAAGATAATTCACGATTTTGCATTCAAGATTTTTCTGGACGGCTTTTGATAGTATTATGTATTTTTTCAAGGTTTTAAGAAACCGTGTAAATTTTTACATTTTGAACGTTTAGACAATGCCATATAATATTACTTTTTGACAGTTTGTACAAACTTACATATTTTAACATTTCAAACTATTACATAAATTCGATTGAAAACAAATCAAACGCAAAAAGTTTTTACTTTTGATTTAAATAATTTATTGAAAAAGTAATTTCTGGAAAAGTCACTTCTTTTGCTTAAAAAAATGTTCAATTTAAAACAATTATTTCCAGCAAAATTTTTTATAGGCTTACTCGATATTATGTATGGCGTGAAAGATAATCTTATTTTGTAGTATTTTAACACCCAATCTTAATTACTTACTTCTTTGAAAGCAAAATTGAAAACCTTTAGCATATAAATTTTTAAAACAAAAAACTGTATTTTTTAAAAATATAAATTTGAATCACAAAAGTAACCGTTTTTTTAATTGCTTAGAAATGTCAATTTATAAAGAAGACGTTTCAAACTTCATAATTAAATATCAAAACATCTCCGAAAACATATTATGATCCATCTGGTGATAATTAAAAGTACTATTTCCATCTATCGGAAAGCATTATCGTTACTAAACAGGTAATTGCATTTAGTTTTACGTTTCAGTTTGCAAATAAAACACTAGCAATGATATTTATAAAATTTTTTGTTTAAAAGTAACTAAAAAATATAATAAATATTTTGTTATACTCGTAAAATTTAGTTATCTGTTTATAAAAATGCTACTGTACTCTGAAAGTTAAAAAAAGGTAAATAAAAAATTCAATAAATTTCATAAAAATTTATTTAAATAATAACTCTTGAAATAAACAGAGCAAAAAGATAAACAAGAATGATTGAGTTCATGTTAGCCCGTGTACGAACTTAGACCTTATGTACTTGCACTAGAACAACAGATATAAAAAAGTAATACTGCCACTAAAAACCCCAATCTAAAACAATATAATGTCAAAACAAAAAATAAAAATATTTTAGATTAAGCACAAATATTGAAGTAAAGAAGATATTACTTATTTTTTTTGACAGAACTTTTGCAGAGAACAAACATGAACTCGGTCAATGTTAATCTTTTATTAAGATTGCAGTTTTTTTTATTTTCTAAAAACAAAAAATATTCTAATCGAAAACTTTAAATTTTAAATGAAGTGATGACCTCACAAAAGTTTATCAGACGCTTTAAGTGCAAAATTATGACATTTGCCTAGTAAAGTACATAATATTTTTTCGCTTATTCCCAGAAGAGCATTTTGTGTTGATTTTAGTTTTTTATTTTTGAAAATGACTGTTGAGATAACAACAAGTTGCCAAAAAAGTATCATTAGATCATCATGTCATAAATGACGTATGAGTTAGAATATTTAAGTATTATTGCAACTTCATGATAAAAATATTTTTAATTTGGATTTTGTTATTTAGTAATTATCGAACGAATAAATAGTTAAACGACCGTGTATAATGTCAAAACATGATAAGCAAAAATCGGGCAATTTGCTCGAAAGTTGGTTTGGTCGACCTAAAGCTAGATCGAAAAATGCACCATATGCTGGTAAACCAATAAGGAAGTTCATAGTAAAATCTTTATTTATTCAGTATATATATTATAGGTGGAAGGCCAACTTCGACAGATGGTGAGTTAGATCTAGGAGATTTACTTTTAGAAATAAAAAAATTATCGGATAGTGAAGTGGATCAAAGGTTTATAGACATTTTGGAAGATATGAATATCCCAAACGATAAACGATCGCCTTTGTTATCAAAGCCAATATCAGAAAAAAAAGACATGATATTTATGCACTTAAAAGGTAAATCATTTAACAATTACATATCCACATATATGTAATATACGAGAATATAAAAATTAATTTAGGGAAAAATTCGCTTGAACATCGCTCAAACTCAAAATTTGAGAAACCCAATCACTACATAGAGTACCTTCAAGCTGGTGAGCACAGCGAACAAAAATTTTACCAATGCATTGAAAATTTGCGTGTTGCTCTAACAAGCAATCCAATTAGTTGGATAAAAGAATTTGGTGAAATTGGTATAAATGAGATAGTAAATTTATGGCGAAGATGCAAACAGGAAAGAAATTATGACAGAATTGAATTCGAATGTTTAAGATGCTTGAAGGCTTTTATGAATAATACATGGGGCTTGAATTTAATTTTAAAACCTGATCAGCATACTGTATTACTATTACTTGCTCAGAGCTTAGATCCGAGAAAACCGCATATTATGACAGAGGCTCTTAAACTTTTAGCAAGTTTTTGTCTTGTTCCTGAACGAAATGGTTATGAAAAAGTATTGAAGGCAATAACAAATTCCTTATCCCCTACATATAAGAATGGTGAGAGATTCAGATCGATAGTTGATGCGTTATTCGTTGATGAGCGATTAGATTCAAAGCGAGATTTATGTTGCCATAGTTTAATATTTATAAATACAATCACAAATACACCAAGCGATTTGAATTTTAGACTGCATTTAAGATGTGAAATTATGCGCATGGGGCTACATGAAAAATTAGAGAACTTGACAGAAATTGTAGAAAAGAGTAGTAATGAAAATTTAAAAAAACATTTTAAAATTTTCAATGATATTAAAGAGGATGACGCTGAAGAGTTTATACAAAGATTTGATAATGTGAAATTCGAATTAGATGATCCGGCCGAATGCTTTGAAGTTTTAAAAAATTTAATTGTAGATACGCCTTCAGAAGCATTTTTCTTGTCAATTTTACAACATTTACTTTACATAAGAGATGATTATTATATACGTCCAGCATATTATCAATTAATTGAAGAATGTGTAGCACAAATTGTATTCCATAAAAGTGGTTGTGATCCTAATTTTGACAATAGGAACTTTCATATAGATACATCACTTATTTTAGACGATATTGTCGAAAAATCTAAAGCAAAAGATTTAAAGCGCGCAGAAGAATTTGAAAAAAAATACGAACAACTGGAAATAGCTAAACAGGAAGCTGAAGCAAGAGCGGCTGATTTGGAGGAAAAACTAAAACAAATACAAACTACTGGAAAAATACCTTCAGATTCAAATTCAAAGCCCGCACTTAATATACCATTTCCACCACCACTACCTGGAGGAAATATGCCACCGCCGCCACCTCCGCCTCCTGGAGGTGCTGGGATGGGGACTGGGGCTCCTCCTCCTCCTCCACCTTTCCCCGGTGCACGAATGCCACCACCACCACCGCCGATGCCTGGAGTAGGAGGAGGTCCACCACCGCCTCCACCACCGCTAGGAATGGGTTAGTATGCTAAATAGATATACAAACAAAAATTATAATTACAATAGCCCACAACTGACCATAAACTATTAGAATTTCATTTTATTTTAAGGATACATAGTGTTTATGAAATCCAATAATTTTTGATTGGATTCGAAAACTAATTTTCCAAAATTTTTTATTTTTTTTTAATAAACATACGCTTTTGTGTTGAAATCGTCCTTGAAAATATTCAATATTATAAATTGGCGTATATCCAACAGCGTTCAAAAAAGTTTTGTGCGCTGAATCATTTCGTTAAGTGGTTTTCGAATGATGTCATTTTATTTAAAATTCATTGAAAATTTTTGATCATTACATTATTTTGAATTTTTAAACAAATATTTCAAGTACAATTCAAAATTTAAATCAATATCAACCGCTAGTTAGGTTAAATTTAATATTAAAGCGGGTACAATACAAAATGTTCTTTTTCTTAAAAATATTTTTTGCAACTTTTTTTAAAATTTGTTTAATTTTCCAAGTAACTAATGTTTATATTTATACTCATTCTTATAAAGGTTTACGTCCTCCACCACCTCCTATGGGAGGTTTGAATCTAAACGCTGGACCTTCACTTCCCCCTGGAATGAAACCCAAAACTAAATGGAATGTTAAAAATCCTATGAAACGAGCGAACTGGAAAGCCATCGCACCAAATAAAATATCTGAAAATGCTTTTTGGATAAAATGTCAAGAAGAAAAATTAGCTTCGGATGACATATTATCAGAATTATCAACAAGGTTTACTTCAAAACCGATTAAAGTAGATCAGAAGGATTCAGTTGACAATAAACCTACTACACTGAAGAAAAATGTAATCGATTTACGGGTACTAGACTCTAAAGCTGCTCAAAACATATCCATTTTACTTGGAGGATCTTTAAAACACATGCCCTATGAAGAAATAAGATTATGTCTATTTAAATGCGATACTTCCATTTTAACACCAAATATACTGCAACAATTACTCCAATATTTGCCACCACCAGATCAACTGAAAAAATTAGTTGAAATCAAAAGTAAAGGAGAAGATTTATCGAATGTCGAACGTTTTATAGCAACAATTGGTGACATCAAACGTTTAAATAACCGTCTGAATAGTTTGAACTTTAAGTTAACATTACCAGATATGATACAGGACATTAAACCAGATATCGTGGCTGGTTCGGCTGCGTGTGAAGAAGTTAAAACAAGTAAAAAGTTCGCAAAAATTCTTGAAATTATTTTATTGTTAGGAAATTATATGAATTCCGGCAGTAAAAATGAACAGGCCTATGGATTTGAAATTAGCTTCCTAACTAAATTATCTAATACGAAAGATTTTGAAAACAAGAAGACTTTAATGCATTACTTAGCAGAATTAGTTGAAACAAAATTTAATGATGTTTTAGACTTTTATGATGATTTGACTCATGTTGATAAAGCATGCCGTGTTAGTTTAGAAACTATTCAAAAAACTATGAGACAAATCAACAGCTCAATGAAAAATTTAGAAACAGATTTGAATAATAACAAAGTTCCCCAATGTGAAGATGACTTATTTGTTACAGTAATGGGAAAATTTGCAGAAGAATGCGGTCAACAAGTAAATTTATTAGGAAAAATGCAAGCCAAAATGGAGAAACAGTATAAAGAGTTATCAGAATATTTTGTATTTGATCCTAATAAATACAACATGGAAGAATTTTTTGGTGATATAAAAACGTTTAAAGATAGTTTTATAATGGCATATCAAGAAAATGTAAAAATTCGCGAAGAGCAAATTAAAGCTAAAAGATTATTGGAAGCGAGAGAGCAAGCTCAACGTGAAATGTTACAAAGACAATTAAGGCAACCGACATTAGTTGATATTGATGCTGCTCATACCCAGGAAGGAGTGATGGATAGTCTATTGGAGGCATTACAAACAGGTTCCGCTTTTGGAAATAGGCAAAAACGTCGACCAAGACCAGCAGGTGCCGAAAGAAGAGCTCAATTAAGTCGAAGTAGATCCAGGACTAGAATAAATGCAACAAATTTGGCTACACGAGAAATGATAGCCAATGAAATCGCACTTCATTCATAGCTTTTTAAACAGTAGACTTACAAAACTAATAATAACAATAAATTTTAAAGAGACTCTTATTATAAATTTTTTTTTGTTTTGTATTGTAATTTTTTTCTGGCACAAATTTTTCACCGTGAAAAAAATTCCGTAATTTAACTGAGATATAAAATATTTTGTATACTTTAAATATTAATTGTAAATTCATAAATATTTTTTAAATGATCTTATATAAAATACTTTAATATAAAAACATATTTCTTAAGAAGAAATTATAAAAAAAAAAAAAAAGAAAATTAACATTTTTTTTATATGTTAATGCGTACTTGTTAAGCGATTTAAATAACATGTAATACATTAATTTTTTGATGTATATTTTTTATACAAATATAATATAATATGCATTACATATTGTTTATACATACATATTTTACAATAAAGTAAGAGAAAATAAACTGAAATTCTATTTAATTAAATTTTACTTTGTAAACCGAATTACTATAATTGTATTATGTTGAAAGAAAAATAAGTGACAATACCTAACTCATATATAACCTAATAAAGAATTGAGTATTGTTGAAAAACTTAGAAGAAAAGATTAAACAATTATAGTTTATAAAAAATCACAGAACGACTTTTAATATATTATTATTAAAAAAAAGGGTTAAAAATGCACTACGTACACTTTGAAAGCAGAAGGCTCCATTACAAACATGAATTTTGTAATAAACTGAAAGTATTTTTAAAGCTTATAGCATTGGTAATGGATTTAAGAATAATACATTTATATTTATTTTATAATATGTAAAGCAATTAATATATCAGTATTAAATTTAAGTATTATAATATTACACAATATTTTCTCTATAGCATTTAAAATGCATGCAGATCTCTTAAAAAACTACTAATGGAAAGATATTGTATAAATCAATTAAATTAGAATCGAACAAGCAATTTATTTTGTAAAAAAATTAACTTATTTAAAATTGAAATAGAAAAAAAATTTTGAGTTAATTTAAGGCATATCATGATGGTTGTAATTCTGGTCTTGCAGTGAAAATTTAAAGGAATAGATACTTGTATAGAGAAAGAATCAAAAAAAAATTTCGTAAAATTGCTTAAAAACCATTGAAAATTAATTTAAAGTAAAACAAGAAAAAAATACTCTGTAATTATTAATATTTTCTTTTAATTTAACTTAAATTTAAAATTTTTACTTTATAATCTATAATTAATAATACCTAAATTCAGACTATTTTACAATACAATTAAAAAATAAAATATTTTGTTTTATTCTAATTGTTTACTGTTATCTGTCGTTGAATGGGCAATGTTTAACAAATCCTGTATCAATACAATAAATTCCAGTTGCGCTATTGAAAGAAAAGAAAATTAATATAATTAATGTTTAGTAATTTTTTAAATTTAAATTTAATATATTTTTTAAATACTTACTCATCAGGTGCATCAGTGCCAATTTTGAAATTTTTTAACGTATAAGGTACATCAAATGGATTTATGTAGTTTGATAAAGGCAACTTATGTGGACCTGTAATTGCTTTACATCCATCTGGACATGGTACTCCAACAAATGATTTGTGTTTAAATAAAGAATTTGCTAAATAACAAATACTTAAGAAATGACTGCAACGTGATCTTCCTATTTAAAAATTATATTTATTAATAACATACAAACTTTACTTTTAAATAAAAGAAAAAAATTGGTTTTTAATTTTACTTATGGGATGTCCTTTACAATATGGTTGATACCTTCCACCATTAACACAGAAATTCAATTGTCCAACACTTTCCTCTTGACCAAGGTATCCTGTTAAATTTTTTTTTTTTTTTTTTAATTATACTATAAATTTTTTTACTAAATATGCGTAAATATAAATTTTATTGAGATGAGTCTAAAACTCTCAAGTATACATATTCCTTATAACTAAAGGATTGAATTAATTTACCTGCATTTGTATGAATGACTTGTGTAACAACTGCATCATCTCTTGTTAATCGGAATGCAAATGATTTCTTACTTTCAATAAGAGGTCTAGCTGGATCTAAACCTAAATGAAAAAAAAAATAAATGTATAAAAGTATTTACTAAAGTAATAAGAGGTATTTACAAAAAAAAACACAAAGAACTATTTACCAATTATACGATACTGTTTTGATGTTAAATGATTGGTCATCATACCACAAATGTGAGCACCCAGTGAATGGCCAACACATGTTATTTTCTTTTTTATAGCTCCGTTATGAGTTAAAAATGCATATACCTAAATTTAAATTATTTTAAAAAATTTAATTGTTTACAAGAAGATTTTTAATTAACATAAAATTAAAGTTAATTGTACTATAACTAATCTGATTTTCACATTTTATATTGAAAATGTATTAATTATATTAAGTATTTGTCATAGCTTCGCCGCATTGCAAAAAGTAAGTTGCATATCGTGAGTCAAAACAAAATATCTTGCATATTTCTATTGCGCAGAAAGTTATTGCTATAGATATAGAAGTAAGATATTATAGAACTGTATACATAAATATAATATATTAAATAAATTAATACACGTATACGTATATTAATTAGTTTTACTTAAGAATATTGCAATTTTATAATTGGAAACTTTTAATTAGAGGGATTTATAATGAAACCTTAAAATTTATTACAACAAAATACTTGTTAAAATTTTAATTCTCTGAGATATATTTTAATTCGCATCAAGATTTAAACTGTGTTATTAGGACATCATAAAATTACAAAAAAAAAAAGAAGAAGAAATTCGATACAAAGCATCATTACGGTGGCGTACACAGTAGATTTAATCATTGTACATACAAACATAAGTATACAGTTTACGAGTATCGTATCTAAAGAAAGTTGAATTATAAAACTAAAACTTGTGAAAGTAAATATATATAAGATTTTAATTTATGTTTTTTTTTCTTGTTTCTGATGTACAATTTTTACTTTACAATGTATAGTTATTTAATTTTATGTGTTTTTAACAAAAAAAAAAAATATATAAAACCCGATTTTATTCTTACCTGTGCTGCACATTGTGCTGTTAATCTTGTATTTGCTAATGCAGTCAAATAGCATGGATATTGTGTTAATGGTCTCCAGTCTACAGTAACAACATTGAAATCTCTTGATAAATAAGCTAAAAAGCAGATGGTAATTTTATTTTTTATTTCTATTACTTTTTTTTTTTATTCAAATAGGATTAAAGTTTAGAATTTTCTACACATTTTCTTCGCAGCCTATACCCGCTTTTTGAAGATATAGAAATGATTTTTTTTTATTATTATTAGCTATATGTATATAAATATTACCATCTCGTAAATATCTAAAATGTTCATCTTGTTCAGTTCCATTGAAACCATGAATTAATATTGCAGTTTCACGATATTTACTAAAGCCGCTTGCATATAATGAAAATGGATTTCTAACATCTAATGGTAATCCTTTTTTGTAGCCTTTGCTAATAATAAATAAGAAAAATGAAAAACAAAAAAATAAAATAATATAAAATATATGTAAATAAATAAAGTATAAATGAACGTGAATAAAATATTTTTGTGATTGAAATTGGTAAAAATTAATTATGACCGCAAAGCAAAAAAGTTTTTACCTTTTTTAATGTGAAAGTAAAGTATGAAAATAAATTCTTAATTCTTATCTCATATAATATTTTTAGAAAGTGATTTCACATTGAATGAAAAAAACAAAAACCGATTTCATTGTGTATTAAAGTTATTGGAACTTATTCAATTAAAAAAACAAATGTCAAAACCTTAAAGGTTAAAAGTTTTAAGTTTAAAATGTCAATCATTTTAGAAATTTTAATTAAATTTTAAATTTAATGAACCTTTATGGTAGTTTTAATATTTTGGAATTATTGATGTGGGAGAATTTATGAATTGGTTATAAAATGGCAAATATTTTAAATTAATATAATAAATAATAAATAATATAAGTACAAATACATTCATGTATAGTAAAATTTCGGGTAACGATTAAGATTTCGGGTTAGGAAGGTAATTTTCAGATATTGTAAGAAGTTCAAATTGTAGATAAACGATTCTGATTTCTATCTGAGTTCTGATTGATTCTGACTTCAAATAAATAGATAATATTTTTGATTTCTAATATTATTGTTTTATTTACAGCGATATTTTCCTGCCATCCGTTCAACTTACAAAAAAATTAATATTTTTTTCCCATGATATCATCAAAAAATTAAAATTATTATTAATTCAAAAATATTTAATCTACAAATAAATGTTTGTTATTATGCAGTTTTTTATTGAATTCATGAGGTTTCAGTACTTATATATTCTTATCTCTATATTCAACAAGGTTCTGTTTACATACATATTCTTTGGGAGGTTAAAGGAAATTTGACAATAATTGGTTACGATTTGCAATTTTTATATTAAAAAACACACGTATATACACATATTTTTTTAAAATATTTACATTACGCACAGTAGCAATATATGTACATATGTAGATGCAGAACATCGACAGTAACTTTAGCTATAATATGGGGAAATTATTATTTTCATATTGTTTATATAAGCATCTATGTACATGCATAAATACATACATACATATATATAAAATGCATTGAATTTCTTTTAAAAAGAAAACCAAAACAAGCAGTAAAAAAACAATGTAAGACTAAATTTAATGGTACAGGAAGAGCTAAAAGCAATATGTAAGTATGTATGTGCATAAAAAAAAATATTTAAAGAAATTTTTTTTATATATGTAAATATGTATGTATATATGAATACATATGTATGTATGTACATATATATTATATGCAGTAGCCATTGAACTTGAAGATTTTCATTTTATTTACCAATAAATTTTAATGTTGAAAAGTAATACGAAAAATAAAAAAGTAAAAAAAAACTCAAAAATTTTTAAAAAAAAAATTTAACAAACTCGTGGAATTTTTTTCACATTTTTTTTTTATTCTTATTTTATGCAATAAAAAGTAACTCGTTTTTTTATGTTTATTTTATTTTTCGAACTTTTTTTTAAAATTGTTTTTTTTTTTGATTTAGTATTATGAGTTTAGTTTTCGGTTCATGAATCATAATGTCTAATTACTTACATAATATACAACATGTGCGTGTTGAACAAAATAGATCATAACAATATCAGTACATACATATATAACTATATTATGTATAACAATATTTAAAAATTTTTTTTGACTGCTTTGAAATATAATGTACGTATGTATGTAAATACAAAATAATATAGATAAAAGAATAAACAATAATAAAATATAAATCGCGTATGTTATGTATCAATGTTCAATTAGCAAATATAGGCAGGTACATACATACATATATCTATGTACAAGGACTACCAGTTTCCTTTATGGTTTTTGTCAACTTACACTATTATTAGAGTAAAATAATAATGTGGAAGTAAATTTGTGTGGATGTAAATAATGTAAAGGTAATTTTAAATAAATTTAAATGTGAATTAAAGTAAATTTAAATAGCAATATTCCATTTAATTTCTAAAAAAAAAAAGTGTAAAAGAAATTTAAGAAATTGGAATACACTTTAAATTGGCATACATATTTAATTTATGAAAGATTTTAAGAATTTTTTATGAAAATTTTTAAGAATTTTTATTTTTTGTAGCATGCAAATTGGGTATTATGCTTAATTTGGCTTCTCTAACAATTGTGACAGCTCTTTCACAATCAGTTATTATGACACTTTTAAAATTTTCTTAATTTGTATTTGTAAATAAATATGTATGTGCATTTAAAAGAACTTTTTATCACAAAAAAATCGCTCGCGGTTTGCAATGCTATGTAGGGCAAAATAATTAATTTGATTAACGAACTGTTTTTCTTATTTTACAAAATTTTTCCAATAAGATAGTTGAATATTATAAGAATTAAAAACAATAATTTTCCATAAATATTAATTTCTTTTTTAATATGAAATTTTAAAGATATACAAAAATTTTATACCAAATTTGCCAATATTACACTTTACTTGATGTCACAATTAGATGCGTTTAATTGAAAATTCAATTGGGTATGTTATATGATTGCTTTTTGTATTGATGAATGTAGTGATCTGCTTATAGGTATCAAATCATCGACAGCTTGTAAAATTTACAAGAAATCTAAAAAAAAATCAAATCTTCGAATAACAGCATTGCAAATATCATAAAACTGTAAATATTTGCCAATATATGTATGCATAAATGCATAAATAATTCAAGATGCTATACAAGGCTTCTTTGTTTGTTTATAAAAAAAATTTTTGCAATTAATCGTGTTCATACAAAAATTAATTATAAAACTTTTTTGTAATTTCTTAAATTTAAACAAAATTTTCTTACTGTAGTTGAGAAAACGAATTTAATTTGTGAACTTAAATTTTCAAACAGTTTTTGAGGCTGTTGTTTACGCAAATACATGTTAACATATTTAGCGAATCAAAAGAAGATATTCAGGATATTTTTCTTAGTTTCGAAATTGTGAAAATAAAATTTGTATTATTTAAAATTATTGCGTCTAATTCATAATTGAAAATACAATTATTTTTATTGGTTTAAAATACTCGTAGAATTGGCTATTTCCAATTAAATTACAGCAATGTAATAAAGCTAAAAATTTGATTATATACAGTTACATACATTTACGTCAGAGCATATTTTGCATTACCACTGTTGCAAGTTCAAGATAACTTAAAAATATGTATATGTTAATGTTAATTCGAAATTAAGGGTGTTTTCGGAATTGCATCTACTATACATATATCAGACACATTGTTTCCATCTTCTAAAATATGTTCAAATAATGACGATGTGTTATGTTCATTATAAACTTTATCATATCACTTGATTGAGATTTTATATTTTTTATATTTTGATTGAAAAAGGTTTCGGCAGTTTGTTTAGAAATCAAATTTTTTAAATTAACACACTTTGATGGTATGAATGCAATTTAATTAATTTAAAAAAAAAATGTCTATTTTACAATTATTTTATAAATTATTACTGATTTTGTTTTTCCAACAGTATCTGGTATTAAGCTTTTATTAGGAGGGGCTTTCGTTTATTCAGTTCTAGAATAGTTCTAGCTTGTAGTACGTTCCAAAATACACCCTACATATACTGAAAATATAGATCGTCCGAAAATTACTGGCTGCAATAAAGTGCGTTCGAAAATTCAATCTGCAATAGAGAAATGTTAGAAACGTAGCGCAGACTTCTAGTATAAATTTTGTCGCTGCCACATAAAATTTTTCTTTTTTAATTTAAAATTCAAAAAAAATTTTTAATTTCAAAATGGCAATTCTTCAATTTTTTTTAAAATTTCCTTATTTTGCAGTGAATTGGAAGACGAAAAGTATTGGGATACAATATTATAAACAATGTCGTTTCTGTTATTTTCCAACGACTGATTATTGAGAAGTTTCAGAATTTGTAGACTGCGTAAACAAAAAAAGCTTAACTAAAATTTTTGCATACGGTTTAGAGCTACAACTTAGAAATTTTTTATTTTAATGTAGAACTTTCAGGGCAGCGTGATATTATGATAAAAATTTCCAAAATAAGTTTGAGAAACATTATTTTAAAATTGGTTTCTGTTATACATACCCATTAATTAAATAAGTTAAATATGCATACATAAGCTTTTCCCAGATGTTGTTCAAGTATCTATGTATATGAAAAATTATGGTATGTAGAAATGTATAGTTTATTGAAAAAAAAATTTATATAAAAAATTTCAATATCTACTCTTTTTAAATTGATTTTGCTAGACTGTATAATTAACAAAATACTGAAAAATACTTGAAAAAACGTGGTGAGTTAAAGTGTAAGTCTGTAATGAATGAATGAATGAATAAATGGATGAATGATATTTAATTTGTGTTTTTATGTTTTTGTTTGATTTTTTCCGATAAAATTCGTTTTAACTGTCTATGGGGTTTTTGTTATTTTTTCTTCAAAATTTTCACAAAGAATAAAAGCGAAATTGAAAACTTATACCATTACACTGTTTTCTCATTTATACAAAATCAAAATGGGTTTAATCAAAATAAATAGGACCTACATTTCGTATAATTGATTTTTTTTGTGTTTTTTCTTTGTTTTATTTACTTAATAAATTTACTTATTAAACGATAGTAAAAGTGTTCTTATTTTGAATTATTTTTTCTCCAATGTGTACACAAATTACATGTGTAATTTCTTTTTCCTTTTGCATATTAAAAGTGTTATTATATAGTAAATTTGCAATATTTTGTAATATCTACGGAATCGAGACAATTAGTATTATACAATAGATAAAGATTTTAAAATGAGCCTTATTATGAGTAATTCATTGTTCAGAATCTCAAAATCTCTCTAATTTGGGGATAACATTTGAGTTTTATTACATTTACTATTTTAGCTTAATGAGTTCAGTTTTAGGGGGTTCACAGGCTAATT